AGGGCCTGCATGGCAGCCTTGCAGACTCAGACCTAAAGTAACCACAAAGATGGTCGGAAATTAAACTTCAACTAAAAGCAGTTATGGTGGGTAGATACTTCCTAGGCTGGTATCTTCCCTGACAAGGTCAATCTTTACTTTAATGGAGTCTGTCTTTTTGCATCTACAGTAACATATCCTTGAAATGTCAGGGTAACTTGTAACTTCCCTTTTTCGGGATCCCTCAGGCCATAACCAAATGCCTCGGGTGTCACGACAGACCATAAATTCCTTGTTATTGCTATCATGTTAATTATTGCCTGTTAATTATCCTGTACCCACCTAAGTAAAAGAAGTATGTGCCTATCATTTTACTCTTTATCCAATCCCAGAGGGTTCCCCACTTTGCTTTCTCCCGCCTCTCTAATCTATCACCAATGGATTTCATGTAACCCACCTACATCTCCTCCTTTGATTGCAATATATAAAAATAGACGAAAAACCACCATTCTCTGGAGCATTATCCCAATGTGTTGAGATTCTGCTTCCCGGCAATTGTTGACAGTTTGGCTCAATAAACTCACAAAAATTCTGTACAGGTTTGTATATTTTTACGTTAACAGGGCTAACAACCTGAAGTTTCTGTGTCTTCAAATTGAGGACCAGGCTCTAGAATACAGAGTGAAATCTTAAGTTCACGTTCACACTTCAACATGCTTTGCTAAGTCACTATATTTCAAATATTAGGAATATTTGAAATATAATGACTTAAAATTTGAAATATATATTTCAAATATTTGAAATATAATGACTGAAAATTGTGCCAAGGTTTTTGACTGTTTAGCTTTCCACGTTTGTTATTTTTATTATTTTGTGTCTTTTCCTATAAAGCTTATTTTCAAGGTGAGCCAGAAAGGGGCAGCTGGGTAGAATATCCTTGGCCCAGTTGGGAAAAGAGGTCCTGGTTATTTGTAGCCATACCAGGCCTCTAGGGGTGATGCGAGCCACCTTTTGGGAAGATGGATCTGGGAACGGTAATCAGTAAGGAAGCAACTATCACCATAAACAGCAGAGAAAAGCCTGGAGCAGCCATAATGAGGAAGAAGAAACTAATTCAAATAGGGAGCAAGAACAGTAGTATTCAGTTGATCGAATATTGTGTGCAGCGATCGTGTGTGTTTGGGATCTAACAAGAGGCCAGATTTCAAATCCAGGTCACTCGCAAGAGCTGGACCATCACTGCTATTGATACTGTGAAGACAACCGGGAGGGGAAACGTTCCTTACAGGTCAGAATGCAACGTCTATCAAGTATGTGTGCGAGCCGTTTCTTGGCAAGTGTTCTTGCAAATGCACGTGTCTTAACTTTTTTTCCTCTCGTTATGACGGGCATCCATTCGGCAGAGTTAGGAATTTAAAGGAGACACCAGCAAAACTGTGTGTCTGAAACAAATTTAGTAACACTGGCCAGTGATGAAACGAACCTGACTTCACTTCTTTTTCTCCTCCGGTGATGTCTTCGCGCCTTAGCTCTGTTGAGCTGCTCTGCAGCGGTGCCCCTCTCCCTAGACCTCCTTCCAAGCCTGCGGGGAACTGGCTGGTGCACGAAGGAGGCCCCGCCACGCAAGTCTCCACGCCTTCGGATTCCTCGCAGCCCCGACCGCGGGATGGCTGCCCCGGCGGGGAGCAGGCCGGCGGGCAGGGCCTCGCCC